AATCTCAAAAATGTAAGTTAAATTTTTTATTTTGACTTTTACTTCTATTGCGTACAATCATCGCCACGTTTGTATCTCCACCAAAGTCATAAGATTTTACCAGGAATGTTTAGCCGAGATATCAGAGAGATGTTTGAGTAAGAAAAATTGACATATTGACATTTTTCCCATAAAATGAAGGCATTACTATGGTTAAAACTGTTCGGTTAATTTATGCTTAGCATACTTTGTTTTTAAGGTTGAAGTGATAGAGTTTTTCAAAGTTATACAAACAAATTTATTCAATCGCATTTTAATTTTCGCAAGGTGAGAAGGTGTGCATGAGCCTCTGTCGATATTTGTGGCGTTTCGAAAGATTTATTGCGAATAAGAAGCGCTTGGCAAGTTTTTACATTCATTTATCTTCAACCTATTTAATACAAAAAATTCAAATAGTACAGCCATTTTGAACAAAACAGGCAAAAAAAACTTGATTTAAAACAACTATTTCAAAACATTTCTTTTTGAACAAATCCCTAATCGGGCGCAAACCATTTGGCAAAAATGAACGCTTGATTCCGTTGTCCAATCTTGAGTTTCATGTGTGGAACTGGAAGCACGCTAGTATGGGTAAAAGATAACAATTCATTCAGGCCTATCAGTCAAATACCCTCACGCGTAATCATCGGCTACCTCTGATAACAAAGTTAAGCGCTGCAAGAAATTTTCGTAAGCTAATAAAGGTCCGAAATCCTAATTTTAGTGCAGCATCGTAGCCAATGTTGTTGTTGGTATTCTTTTTCCTCGTGTTGTCAGAAAATCTACCTTTTCAAAATGCCTGCGTTTTGATTTTGCGAACGCGGTACTCAGACGCATTTGTGTATGAGCCGCAAAGCTGCCGGCACTGCAGCTAGTTATTGGACCTCCAAATATTTGACATTTGCTTTCTTTTTGAACACGAAATGTGCATATGGATGGTTTTGGTATTATGTTGTTGTTAGCGTTTTTTTTTCTTGTTGTTATGTCAGAGCGCTGCTGGACTGCTTTGAACTCTTCAATGATTCGAGATTGTATTTTTTGGTAGAATGCTTTTAATCTTTTTGAAAACTCTGAGGATTCGTTTTTTGGTTTTCCGTGACGTCATCAAAATTAAAAATTGCGCACTTTGTGGCGATTCCGCGTTCGTGATCTGGTGGGCAGGCAAAGTCGTGACGACTGCGGCACCAGTAATCTACTGTGACAATTCGCATTTCCGCACTACTTCGTTTTGTCTTTCGTGTATTTCCATATATATATTTGAGCATCTCTCTGTCTTGTTAAAATTTTTCTCTTTTTTCTTCTTCTTTTCGTTATTGTTGTTGTGAAAAATCGCTTTTCTCTTTAATTACTGGACATATTGCATGCGAATTTTCGGTTGTTAAAGATTTTTGATGTCGCTAGGGTGCTATTACTTTTATTTGTTCCATAATTTCCTATGAATCCTATGATATCTGATATTTCATTCAGAATTTTATTCATGAGAACACCGTTTTTATTTGGCAAAGCATGACGGCCTACGTTAATTAACGCTGTCTTCCGTTTCGATTTTGCGAACTCGTGTTACGGTGGGCAAGCAGAGGTCTAATGTATTTTAATTCTAGTGGACGTGACGTAACATTTTTCAGTAGTCGTTCCATATTTCATCTCGACGAGCATTGCTCTTTTGTTTTAACATGATGTGGCGTACCCTGGATCGTGTTGATGGTGGTGGTGGGAGAGGAGCTTTCGGTAATGCTCTGTAATGAATTGCCGCAGAAAAATACATCTCATATCAGACAAGTTTCTTTCCGTCCACCACCACGGTATTTTGTATATCATGTTAATTTGAATTGTCGATTTTGCTGCACATTTAAAATACATACTGGTACCTTTTTGTATGGCTAATACAGTGTTACGATAACGAAATGATACCTCTTTGCGTTTTTTTTTTGGAAATGTGATAACAAATTATTTTTCTGAATTTGCTTACCTTGTCGCTCCATGGAAAGTGCACACACACTTGGCTGTGTGCTCGTTAAATTGGCAAACATTGAAGGCGTATATTTTTATGATATGCTGTCGTCCATTCGTCGATTTTGAACTGCGTGTCAGTGCGGGTAATCATTAGAAGAATTAATTGAATCTGTGCATATTTGAGTCTCATATTGCAAAATCCCCAACATTATCTAGAAAAAAACTAGTACGACAATCGTTATCAATGTCTTCGTCTATTCTATACTCTATCCAATAGACCTCAATCTAGCGATATAAATATATTTGGACATTTTCTATCAATAAAAATAATCTGTAGAATCGAATTTTGCTCGTTGTATGGACAAGTATAGCAAACATTTATTATCGGAAAAGAAAAAACATGGTTTGAAATGTATTTAAATAAACTGGAAAAAGGAGCTTTTTCCGGGACTCGGAGAATATATAGCCCATTTCGTTGTAAAGTTGAATAATCCTAGTGGGCATTATTAGTAGTTTCATTGCAGTAATGGGGGTTTCAAGAAATTCACTCATCGCCTTTTTTTTATGTTGTTCCCGAACAACGTAACAGAACTCGGCGATGACGTCATCAACACGTCATCTTTTTTTAGTATATATGCTATTGAATTGTGAATACTTCATATCAATACAAGAATAATTTTTTCGTTGTAAGCGAAAACGTCATGAATGAAAGGGTTTTAAAAATACACTAAATGTATTTTGTTTGGAATGTTCCGCTTCGTTGCACTCATGTCATGACGTGTTGTTATCAAAATTATCCTACTGCTCTGCGTTCTTGCGGATGTAAGCAAATGCAGAAATGCGGAGATTGGCGATGGGCATATTTCAGATTTGAAGGCTGTAGCTAGATTACGGCACCACGAGTATTGACTTTCAACATATTAGCGAAACCCTATATTAATACTGTGATACCGGTAGATTACTGTATGTCAGTATGTACAAATATCGCCAGTTTTCACAAGGCTTCACTCACCAACTTTCTGAACAAGGCTCTCGACAAGCATCAACTTTCAGACTTTGATTCCTCACAGGTACGGTACCAGTACGGTAATGTCTGAATGTAGAAAATGCGGCCGACTATCAGCTTCATGATGTTCATCTATTCAGGTACTGGTACTATTACTTTACGGGGTCTCATGTGTAATTTCGTACCTAACATAGGCTACCCCCACCTGACTAAGCCATTCAAAAATTACGATATGTCACTACAATGCCACAGTGATGTAATAGAGCCTTTCAAACGGGTCTGGTCAGCTGGTATAGTTCATTACCACATGCACTTCTAGGGTGGTGTAGCCAGTCTGTGGACGATTTCATTCAAAGCGCTATAAAACAAAAACCAATATTTCTAACCCGTTAATTTTTTCACCGTAGGTGCATTGGCATTCTACACGCTAAACCTCGAATTAACTTTCTACGACCAGGGGTTAAAGCTATACAAACCACCAAAGTACAACACTCGGAAGACGTATTTGCGACCGAACGACCAGTGTGCGACCACAGATTTCAAGCTTTGAACATCATTTCTGCAACTTCGAGACTAGAGCATACGCAGCCATGCGTGAAAAATTTGGGCTTCTAATTGCATTTCTGACCGTCATATATTTTAAGAACACGGTCATTTCGAACAAAACTTGTCAAATTATATACAAAGCACCGCATCACAGCAATCAAACAGACAAAAACACGGTGGTTGCAAATTGGTCGACAAAGATATTATCGACGTATTGAAAATGCGCACCCCCCTATTCCCCCTCCTTCAAATGTAGAAACGCGAAAATTTAAAGATGGTTGAAAGAAACACAACTCTACCCCCTTGCCAAGTTTCATCTTTTTATCTCTTATATTTGTATGGGTTTTCATGTTTTTTTAATGGGACAATGGGTAGTTGACGATATGAAAAAATGGTTCGTTTTTTTTCTTTGGTCAGATTTTCGGTTGTAACTTTCTTGTTTGTGGCCGCATTTTAGTGTAATTTCGCAGAGATATGAGGGACAAGTGGACGATAATGTGTGAGAAATATTGTCGCGGTTCGTTAATTTTCGGCATTAATTAGATCGATGAAGTTGATGGCCACAAATAGATCGTGGCCGCAAAGTGGGTAAGCCACCCTACAATACGGCACACTATACAAATCGGGTGACATTGTCCCGTTTCAGAGAAACCCATTTTACAGATGATCAGACACCCATCCTTTGGGAGACGTCTGGACATTGTTGTCCCTCAATATCGGTAATAATACAGTATAATGAAGTTGAGCTAAATGCTACAAAAAAGAGCAACTAGTAACGTCATCATTGAATTCCTTGGGAAAAAATAATCCGATTTACCGAAGGAAAATTTTTTCTGACGTCGTCAAAAAATTACGTCATTTGGACGTCACAGTGGCGTAATAAGGCCCACCAAAGTATGCAGATAGTCGTCCGAAACACGCAGACGATCAGCCGAAATTGAGCAAGCTATTTCTCTCGTTTTCTCGTCACAACGAGCGCCATAGGAAAAAGATTGCCGGCATTAGCGAGTTCGTTATCGCATGTATCGGCGGCGCAGGTGCCATTTCGGACGATCGTATTTATACTTTGGCAAGCCCTATGACGTGATGGTGACGCCTGATTAAAAACTGGTACATTAATTTGTGAATATACCGTTAATACTGATTAATGAATACTGAATAGCGCTATAAAACCATGGCAAGAGCTGCCGCGGTTCGTTTGTGGCACGAGCTGCCATGAAGTGGTAAGAACTGCTGAACTGCGCTTCAAAAATGTTATGCTACGCCTACTAGGAGTACGTTAGGTACGAAACTACACGAGACCCCTTTACAGGTACTGCAGTACGGTACCAACTTATTGAGCTTGGAAATACCGGTACAGGGGTCAGGATCAATAGAATTAGGTATAACAGTATTGTTTGTAATTGTATTTCATATTGCAGACCTTCTATGGTAATTCTCTGATTTGGTTATTGAACTGTTTTTTGATATTTTTATTTTGTTAAAGTCATATATTTTTCTACTGCAGTTATCGGGTTATAGACATACATTGAAACTGACTTGGGCCAGTAGGCTACTTGTAATTTCAAATCAGGATTTTGATCTGCTCAAGCATGAAAATGCGTGGTGCGTTGTTAACTGCTGGGAGCTTTGCGCTCACTGGAGCGGTCGTTGCAAATGCATGGATACAAAAGAAACAATTCTTTCCAACTGTTGTATATTTAACAAAGTCTAGTCCCTGCATGGCGGTGAGTAAATCTAAATAACGAAAATATATGTTATGTGAACTTATATGCACTTTTTCAATGTTTGAATTTTTTTATCCAGGTTCTTTATATCCAGGCATTTGTGTTTGTTTTACTTTTGGGAAAACTAATGCGAAAAGTATTTTTTGGACAACTTCGTCCTGCAGAAACAGAGGTAGGTTAAGTAAATATACTCAACTCGTAGAGCCTGCGAGTCAATTCATCTGTAATTGTTCATAAAACAAGGCAATATTTTGATAAGTTGTTATTAAAAATACGTCACTTTCATAAACATAACTATGATGGTTAGTTTTGCATGTTGTTCATGGCTAATGGGGTGGATCGAAACAGGATGGTATCGATCGCCTTCATTATTGATGAAGTGTCTGTCGATTCAGTGTTCTCAACTTCTCGTATTAGACAAAAATATATATCAATTCACATACATTTTCTCTACAGATTTCAAACTGAATGGAATATTCATAAATATTTTAATTAGCTATATCTTCTCAACCAAGTTACATTTTGAATTATTTTCAAATACTGTGCAGTGCTTAATTTTTGGATGGCGTAGTCAGATGGGGGTTGGGAATAAAATATGCAAAAATGCTCTATGTCACACCCACTAGAACAGTCCATCAGCACAGTCCTTTATTATATCTTTTATACATAGCTGTATTTTACTGAGCGCAATACGCAAGTCAGCACTAAAATTGGAGCGTTTGTGCATCTTAGTTTTAATAACCGTCAGTGCCGAAAATCCTTGCTCGCATAGATACGTGGTTGCGAAAGGTAGCAGAAAGCCATTGCTTCGTTTCCAATTACCTATACCACTGTCCGTAGCAAACATCCTAATTCTAGATAGGCCTTCGGTCCCTCTCGCAAGTTTTCACTCATCACATGGGCACATAGTGTTTCGTTTGCAGTCGATGGGGTCTCGAGCTGAAGCCACATTCTCTCTAGATCTTCAGCTGATGTTGGCAGGCCAGCTTTTTTTTTGGCGTTGTGAATTAGGATTTACATTACCAAAGAAGGCATCCATTTTTGGTTATTTTTGCTTGAAAAATATGACATTTTGCGCGGTCCACACAAGAACGAGCGACGTGTGCATGGTTACAGACACCATGAAACAAGACATGTGACTGGTAATCAATTGTGATGCAACAATTGGCTCAAGACAGTCTCTTTCTGTAAATGATATTTGATATTTCTTTTTTATGCCAAGTTAAGATAAATTGAGACATTGGACCAGATGAAATATTCGGCAACATCCTCTTGGATCGCCCTTGCATTTTTGACCTTGGCGCGACCCATTTTTAGACCTTCCGCGACCTGTGTTTAGGTCATGACATGACCCATACTTTAAGAACCACTGCACTAGAAGTATTTATGCTACTATACTAGATTGATACTTTAGTATAATTTTTATTATCATTCGAAATGATTTACTATGTTGCAGAGTTTGTCAAGTTTTTTTTCATACCAGACTGTATGTTTTATTTTCTCAGCATCTCATTGAGAGATCTTGGTACGCTGTAACAGACACATGTCTCGCGTTTACAATGTTTCGTGATGACTTCAGTCCAAGATTTGTTGCTTCATTCACTTTCTTACTTTTTTTAAAATGTTTTCATTGGTTAGCAGAAGATCGTGTCGATTATGTAAGTAGATAGAAAACTATTGTTTATTCCAAAATAAATTGCATTAGCAGAGTATTGAGTATTTGTACTCAACTAAACAAATAAAACTAAAACTTTGATATAGTCAAAAAAGATATATTATAAGAAATCAATTTTTATTTGGTCACTATTTTTCTTGGTTTATTCTTTGACAAAGTTTGTTTTGGGCTAAGCCATCATGGTTCCCGCTCAACCAAACTCCTTTAAGGTATTGAAAATTATTTTTGAGTAATATTTTCAAATAAATATTGAATTATGCATGCAACAGTAATACAGAAGTTTATTTATTTTAAATACTGGTTATAATGTAATGCCTTTGTTTGGTTTACAGATGGAAAGAAGTCCTATAATAACACTCCTTTTTAAATTCAGAGTATTGTGTAAGTATAGCTCGTTTGTGTATATTTTTGTTCTATTTTGTGCCTATTTTAGTGTTAAAAAGGAAGTAGGAAAGGCTGTTAACATTGCCATATAGTACAGTCTCTCATGCAACAAGCGATTCAAATCTGAATTATGTGTAAAATAACAATGACTCTATTTCAATAACATTAAAATTCATAATATTTTTTTCTCTTACAGCTCTACTATCTTTGCTTTCAATACTCGATGCATATTTTGTCAATTCATCTTATGAAACCACATTAAGCAAAGGTGCTTCAGTTCAATTAGTTTTTGGCTTCGAGGTTTGTGAAATTGTGTAATAATCAAGATTTTTCATTCATTTTTTTAATACGATAGTGAATATCAAAATATTATAAAATAGAAATCAGGCATAGGAGTCTTTAAGGAGGAGGAGGTCTTGAATTTCAATGTTTGAATAAAATGAAATTTTTTAGCAATTATCTTGAGAAACTCAATATTGAAATCTTGATTCTGAAGTATTCCTTTTGTATTCATGCATCAAACATTGCTTTATTAAACAAAAAATGATTTTCTTTTTTAGTACGCCATTCTTTTAACGGTTTTACTCACAATAACTTTGAAATATATTCTTCATTCGATTGACTTGCAAAGTGAGAATCCCTGGGAAAATAAAGCCGTATATATGCTTTATGTTGAACTAGTAACAGGTAATATTTTTTGTAATTATGGCAGTGTTTGCTGAGATAATCAATGTGTAAACAATATATATTTATCTCATGTCACAGGTGTTAATTTAATATTTGTAGATTCATTGATTTTCCTATGATTGCAATAGCAGTACCATCTATGATTCTTAATTTTAGAGCTGTATTTTTATTTCATTTACACCGTTTGAATAGTCGTCTTTAATATGTATTATAATAATACTAATTAATTGAACAATATTAGTAAAACAGCACAAAAATACTTAGAAATATTTCTGTTTTTCCCCAACAAGAACGTTAAAATTCCTTTCTCAGGAGCTTTCTTTTTCAAAATAATTGAAAAAGAAAAATTGTGCAGCTTATCTCACTCTCTGATACCTCAAATAATTCCTGTTGATTTTTCAAATCTTTTAATTTTTTTAAAATAAATTTCAACACATTATAATTTGTTTTCAAGGTTTCCTTCGTGTCATATTGTACACATGCTTTACCGCAATCATGATCAAGATTCACACTTTCCCGTTGTTTGCAATACGACCCATGTATCTCACTATGAGGCAATTTAAGAAGGCAGTTTCGGATATCGTCTTGTCAAGAAGAGCCATCAGAAATATGAACACACTGTAAGTATTGAGTCAAGACTCTTGACTCCCTGTTTAAATTTTTAAGTCCGAGATTTCAAAAACGAATCAAATATTTGAATCCATTCAAAATTAAATTTATGCAATATTTTAAATTCGATATTTTGTGAATAATTTAGAATGGTTAAATTTGGGAAGTCAACGTTTTTAGTACGTCCAAAAATGCTTTTATATATTCCTGAAAACTGTAAAAAATAGAAAACCAATCTAATCATTGTTCATCTGCAATTTTTCTGTATTTCAAAACAAATGTATTGACTATGCATTGATGTCTATTATATATTATCCAATTTATTTATCCAAAATATTTGATAATATTATACAAGAGTCGGAATGAATTTGGGATAGAAAATGATTTAGCTTTGTCCTTTGCTACTATTCAATAGTGCCATCTCTTGATTATGAAACTATCCTATTTATGTAATATAGGTACCCAGATGCAACTGCAGAAGATTTAGCAGAAGGTGACAGCACCTGTATTATTTGCAGAGAAGAAATGCAACCACCACAACCTGGCGCTCAACCCGGAAATCGGCGAAATACAGCAGGTTGTAGCTGACTACACCCTCACTAACTATAACTCAACTATTTTTTTCATATTTCGAATATTTCTCTCAAATCCTTTGATATCTTAGAACATTGGTTCTTAAACTTTCATAAACCATGGCCTTCTTCCGAAGGCTGTCAACACTTGTGGCCCACCGCTTTTCAAAGATACCTAGTTTTGCTTTTAGTGTGTTTTCGTCAATTATTTTATACACCATGTTTAATAATAAAAAAGCCAACAAATGAAAGTAAAAGAATACATTTTTGCATTGCCATATTCCATGCTCTTTATGTCATGGCATGCCTTGCTCCAAATTTTTTTTGCATCATATTCGGGAGAGAATACTTTGAAGTGTAGTATACATTTTCTATAACCTTAAGCTTTGCTTTTAGGCATCAACAAAAAACTACCATGCAGTCACATCTTCCACGCTGCTTGCCTACGATCTTGGTTTCAAAGACAACAAACATGCCCAACTTGCCGTCTTGATGTTTTAGTATCAGTGCCCACAACCACACCAGTAAGTAACAATTTTTTTTTTTTTTTTCATTTCATCGTATTCTGAATTAGATAAAAATAGACAAAGTGGAAAGATAAATTGGGTCGAATTCATTAGGAATGATTTGTCTGTGTAAGTGTTGTGAAAGAAAATATCTAATAACAAGTCTATTTTTTTTCATCCATTTTCTATACAATGGATCATAATTCGTTAAGAAAAGAAAATGGTACTACGCCAAGTAATACAAGATTCTGACAAGATTTTTGAAGTAAGAGAGACTCACCTCTACTTAGTGACCACTAAAATGCCAAGAGCTACTGAAAACATAAGATGTCGATACATTCAGTGAATGCCAATAGGCGCTAGACTCAAAATCAAAACAATTGTGAACACAGCTACGAGCTGGTGAATTTCACAATGTGGCAATGAACAATGGATGACTATATGGGGGAAACAATATTCCATGAAAAGAATTACTAATGTATTGTTACATTGTAATCACATCACCAAATCCAAATTATTGAAATACTATGAGTTGAGAATGTAAAAAAATCAGCCATTGTTATAAGATAGTGGGATTGTTTGTCGTACTTATGTTCGTTATAAAAAAACTGTAGGGATATTCTCAGAGTTGAATTAGGGAACTGATACCAATATAAACAAATCTATATTGTCATGAAGCACTATCCTGTAATATATCATTTTACTCAAGATTGCAACATATGTTATGAGTACGTAGATATTCAATAAGCCTACCATTGCACTATGATGCGACTGTGATTACGAACCATTTGAAGAAGGTCCTTGTCTATTTCACTGACAGACGTTCATCACACTTTAAGAAAACATTTATGTAATAACATTGATAGCATGTTTAACTATATTCCATATTCTGTTATGAAAATGAATGTTCCCTTTGTACGAATCCTCGCCTATTGAACGTTTCGACTCCTGAACTCTTATTTGTAATTGGTGTTCATATGATTTTAAAAAAACAGGTAGATACAGACGCTCCCGAGAGTAAACTTATGGAAGTAAAGTTCTATTTAAACCTCAACAACTCAAATATGCAAGCCTATGAATGACTGAAACAACTTATGAATATTGTTTTTTTCTTGCACTTAACTTTAATTACTATTTATACATTTATAGGCACCACCACAGGCTGCTCCTCCACCTCAACCTGGTCATCCTAATGTTCCACCAGGAATGGTTCCACCTGTACCTGGTCAAAATCCTTGTGAGTTTCTTTTTTGCAAGTACTCAATAGTACCCAAAATTTGTTATTTTCCTTTGAGCGATGCCATTGTGTATCTTCGTGACAATGTCCAATCACCGATAGCATTACGGTGACGCAACAATTGAATTTTTAGGAGCTGCTCAGACAATTTTTTCACTTCTAAATTAGTCCTGAAAAAGTCTAATCTAAAATTAGCTGCCGGTACTTTCTTATGGTAACAGCTTGAATAGTTTGAAGCAATATTGTCAAAACATATAGGCATTTATATGTTTCAACTCGCTAAAACATTCTCAAAATAAGAATATAAAATTTTACAATGGTGAGTGAAGTACAGGAAAAATATCAATGGGGTCAAGGCTCGAAAACATAATTATTGCTGTTTTCTCGATGCTGGTCATATGTTTTTCAAGAAGAATTACTTCATCTTTATATGCAACTTTGATGAAAAACCCGGATAAAGAAAGGTCACATTAAGTATTTCTGTCATGAGTTGCATGAGGCAACCGCAACGAACTAATTTGAAATAAAAATCCAGCCATTGTCTTATTAAAATATGATCAACCCCGATCTTACTCTAATCTGGAATGTTTTCATTTTTCAGTCATGTTTCCACCAATGTTCCCACCACCAGGAATGTTTCACCATCCACCCCATCAACAACAACCTGTTCCCCCACCTGCTGCTGGTAATGCTCAGCAAGCACCTGGTTCTTCTTCAAGTATGTATAATATATGCTGTAATCAATGGTGGCAAGTTCTTTGAAATGACTGCATTTGTATACGCAATTGGCTATTCAATTTTAATGGATGTGGATAATTAAAACTTTTCAAATTTAATTACTTACTAGAATTTTTTGGACATAACATAACGAAAAATTTATTTATATGAAAAATGATTTACAAGAAACTTCATGAGCATATTGGTTATGAATGCTTCTCTGGGCAGTGAGCAGCGACTTAACAATGCTTATTTAGCAAAAAGTGGACACTGAGATAGCACTTCAAATTTAATCAGCTACTCAAATACTTTTCCACTTGGATCTATTTTCAAGCATAATTGTAAACTTTGACGCATTGTCATAGCTATAAATACTGTTTGTTAATTTTTACTTATTTTTCCTAAATCGGAATATAAATCAAATAAATCAATGGCCATTTTGTGTTTGAATGCTTTTGATTTGTTGCAATAATTAAAAAATACCCTAAAAAAGCAGGATGCAGTAAGAAAAATGGCTTGAATTAATCACTATAAAGAAATTTCGACCACCAAATGAGAAATTACAGTCACAACATTGACATAACATAATTAGAATATTCATCTATTTACATCAATTTTACCTCAAACCAATGTATATCATATGTTACATTCCGATCTCCAGGCACTCAACCTTCCACAAGTTCATCAGTTCCACCACACCCCGCAACTAACATTCCTTCGCCGTTCATGTTTATGCCTCCACTACCTACGATGATGATGCCACCACCACCTATGCCTCCAGGAAACTATAGTGGGATGTCAGATGATCAGTTAAGGGCAATGGAGGGAATGGAAAGACGAGCTGTGGAAAATAGACTGGAATGCTTGAGAAATATTAATTCCTTGCTTGATGCAGCAATGCTCCAAATCACACAGTATGTCACTGTGGTGAGAGGACAAGGACAACAAGGGTATGTTTTTGAATTTTGGGACTTTATCAAGTAGGGTTATTCACATAGGTATCTATATCATTTGGTATAATAACCAGGTCCCAGCATTTCAAAAACTTTGTGTTCATCTTCTATTCTTATCCTATTTCATTAGGGCTCGAACCTTATCCGGAGTGAACTTAATAATAAACAAAAGCATACACCCCGTATAGACTTTTTATCAAGCAGTATACCATTCTAAAATAATTATGCATGGACCAATTCAACCAGTGAAAGTTCCAATGGAAAATCACTTTTCATTCAAGTATTAGCAGTACACAACAGCTGTCTAAATTTGTAAAATTCAAATAAAAAAATCTCAATTATCAAATCCAGAAAGCTGGAAATGAGTATATGTGGATGTATGTGTATCCACTAGATATGTTTAGTTAGTTCTTATTCTGTCATCTTTGCATTTATTTCATAGAAATACGCTCAAAGTTGATAAGAGAATATATATATTGATATTTTAGGTTCCAAATTCCGCCGTTCGATCCTAGTCAGCTACCGAAGCAAACCACCCCTGAGGCTGTACCCCCAGAAGAAGTGGGATCCTCATCGCAATCTTTCTCCGCAAATATTACTTCAACTACTCAGCCACAAGCACAACCCACAGAGGAATCTGATAATATTCCTGGCACGAGTGGAATTTCAGAGATAATAAGTGAGCAGACAGATATAAAAGAACCATTACAAGTGGCCCACACAGCTAGTGAGTTCATAAATATAATTGGGATATTTAAATAAATTGGTATATTTAATATTGATGATCATTTAGATTCTAGAATATTGATTAAAAAATGGAGTCTGAAACAGCACTTCAGACATGAATATAACTACAATTCTGTCATGCTATCATTCTAAATGTGATCTAATTCACCGATTATTTGATTGACTCATATGTTGTTATTACCATCTGGTCATCATGCATCTGTTTTCAATACAAAATATCAGATTTTAGATTATGCCTGTCATTACCATTAAGCAACCAGTTCAATCTGTCTAATTTTTAAGTACCCCAGCGAGTTATAGGTTATCTTAACTCAGGGTCGGCCAACTTTTTTGGTCGAAGGGCCACATGTAGTTCAGTAATAATTGCCAGGGCCACTTAAGATGGTAGTTATATTTTAGTTTCGCTACACTGACTACAGGTTAATGAACAAACAAACAATACCCTCACACCAAAGTTTCACAATTATTAGAATAATGAAACTGTCGTATCTCAACCATTGATGGGGCACCATCAGTGGTTATTCCCGAAAGTTTCGCCAAAAACAAGCCAAGACGCTTGAAAATTTTTATCACAGCTTCCAGCAAATCAATGCCTCCAGTTGTACCCTTAATAGGGACAATGGCTGCGAGCTTTTTGGTAATTTCAAATCATCATTAACTCCCCGCAAGAAGATCGCCAAGTTGCCAACTGAGCAGTAAACTTGATGTCAGTGCTTTCGCCAAGTGCCAAGGAATACGATGAAAATTTTCCCGCTTTTGCAATTAAAGTTTCCGCTATAGATTTCCCAGGCTCTTCAACACGACGGGTTATGTTCCGTCTCGACAGGCTATTTTTACCTATTTTATTTCTGGACGTGAAACATTGGCAACCCGAACAATACATATACATTCCTTCGATTGTTTTGCGATAACATCATATAGAGTAGTAAAAGACCAAGTGTGTAAGCGGCTATGGCACCTTTATTTATCGATATATCCTCCCAGTTGGTTTCGATTCAAAATGGCACTCATGGCTTGTTGAAAGGGCTAGCAGAGCGCATTCAGGATAATAAACAAATCGTTTGTATCACATCTTTACTCAATTTTTTTATTCAATTCTGAAAAATACAGCGCGGGCCACTCTAAATGCTTCCGCGGGCCACGGGTTGGACGACCATGTCTTAAATTATTTCTTTACATTAACAGCAGAGTCTGGCGAGAATGAAGTTGTTGAACCAGAAGATGCGAACGAACTTCGCAGGCGACGATTGGCAAAACTAGATTCCGCGAAAAACTTGCAAGAAATGAACAATGATACCCCTGGAACTTCCTCATAACGAATGAAGCATTCGACTTATCCTGAACGCACAACAAATATCTAATTCCCCCTGCCATTTTGTACATAATGAATTATATAGTATAATTATTATTTGACAAGATATGTAGGAGTCTAGCAAGGTAAGATGTGGTTTTAAAGACACTTGAATTACCCACAATAGAGTTGGCGGTGAATGAAAATCAGTACTGGCCATTCTATGAAATATGCTTGGAAAGGACTTTTTAAATGTTTAAAGGGATAGAAATGAGCTGATATTACTAATTATACTTCTAAAAGCTTTTCTGGTTTATCCTGTGAGAGACAATCACTTGTTGGTCTTGTATTTGCATTCACAGGATCCTTGCAAAACATGTAGGGAATTTTAGGCAAAAAAAATTTGTTCAGTACTGGTTGAAATTTGTAAGCATGAAATGAATAGCATGCGTCTCAGCAAAAAAATTCTCTTTTGACAAAACTTCAATTCTTGTGGAAACAGGGAAAATCGAAGTGGTCTTAAAAGTGTAGCGCAAAATTCTGCTTGTAGCACCTTTGCAATATTCTATTATTATAAATTCTTTGTAAGTTGGTGAATGGTGAAGGGTCTATTTTATCATAAGTTTTGTCTTAGTTATATTTTTTGTTTTAGTATTTTTGTGCAAAAGAAACTATGTGATTTTGATGTGGTATATAATGGAAGAAATACAATTATACATCGGAAGAATGAAAGCTCTGGGTTTACTTCATTGTGTTGTTCAAATAATATGTCATCAGACCTAAGGTTTTAGTAAATAGTGAGGTGAACCGTGAATGGATGCATGGTAGCAAGTCTACATGTAAAACTGGTATTACGGCCGCTGTTCACGATGCTACGAATCTAACAGTCTATTTAACCCTTTTGTCGCAGACTCGCAGTCGTATGTTCCGCCGTGTAGGTATAACCGTCGTTTAACTCACTGCTGCACTCACTGAAACCTGGAAACCCCAAGAAACTGTCCAACACAATGTTTTGATGTTACTTCCAAATCGTGTTCAAAGATGACCAAATGAAATAACTTAGATGTTATGAAGCGTTCCAAAATAGTGTCTCAGTGGACTGATGAAATGTTCCAATATAAAGTCTCAATGAATTGAAGAAGTGTATAAACTGCAATTAAAATAAGAGTAAAACTTATAAGCAAAACACAACAGTGATGATCTAAAAATACCAGAGGCAAAATACAGTATAGGCTACCGGTACTTGATCACACGATAAAGAAGGCATGAATAACTTATGAATAAAGAGCAGACAATAACTTGTCCACACAGTGTTTTACTTATTCTATACTAATATGAATTTGGAATGAAAATCATATATTAAGCAAGTAGGAACACTCAGCAAATGAATTCCTAAATACAGAAATATCTTCACATAAAATATGACTTACCGATTTTTTCGGCTAATAATATCACAAACAAGCAGGTACTTCAATATTTAACATTTAAACAATCTTAACTGTATGGAAAAAGAATAATATATTAGACCAAATCAGAGAAGCACAAACCCTGTCAGCCTGTTCAACAAAATCCTGAAAAATGGCGCAACCACGAGACAAACTTGCGCAACAATCTAAAGTACCACAATGAGGCGACAAAGGGCAATAAATAAAATGACGGCTGAGCCATCATTTACATGGCTCCCCTAGAAATGCTATTTCTATACTAAAATAAAATTACAATTTCACAATGTCTATTTCTGGCTCCCTCGTCGGGAATCTTCTCCCGTATCTCCACTCTCCAAGAAAAGAATCAACTTTTGGATTGGACGATCAAGAAAGAGAACATCCCTTATACGCTTTCCTCTCTCATCGAGTGTTGAATCTCCTATGTGAACTCGAACTCTTCGAACATGACCATCTGCATCGGGATAGACATCAACAATTCTTGCCATCTTCCACTGATTTCTTGGTGTATTTTCGTCAACGACTATGACAATATCACCAATTTTGAGGTCACGTTGAACTTTGTTCCACTTTTGACGAACTTGGAGTGATTGTAAATATTCTTTACGAAATCGAATCCAAAATTCATTGGCTAAATGCTGTACTCTCCTCCATCTTTTACGCGAGTACAAATCTTCCCTTCCAAATACACCTGGTGGTGGTAATACAAGTCTTGTCTTCGCAGTCAACAAATGATTAGGCGTCAGAGGCAGTGGTGAATCAGGACATGACAAATTATCCACAACTAGAGGACGTCCATTGACAACTGCTTCAGCCTCTGCCATCAGAGTGCGAAGAGAATCCTCATCTAGTTGCCTTCCATTCTTTTCCAGGATGGATGAAAGAACTGCTCTAATACTACGAATTTGACGTTCCCAAACACCTCCCTGATAACTTGCAGCGCTGACATTGAACTTGAATGGGAAATAATCACAATTTTCTCTAAGTAAAACTTCTTGAATTTTTGAATGATTCATTGCCTGTAGACCCTCTTTTAATTCTCTTGATGCTCCAACCATGTTGGTTCCACGGTCACATCTCAGTTGTCTGATTGGCCCATTTCTGCAAATAAATCTTCTTAGAGCATTTATAAAGCTGTCGGTTTCTAAACTTGGGGCGATTTCAACACGAACAGCACGCGATGCCATACATGTAAATAAAACTCCATATCTCTTGAGTTCTTTTCTCCTTTCTTTGATAATGAAGGGGCCAAATAAATCTGTAGCACAAAATGAAAAACATGGACTATCATCCATTCTGTCTTTTGGTAAATCAGCCATTTTCTGTTCTTGAAATGTTCCTCTAAGTCTCCTACATTTTGTGCAGTGATGTATGAAACTTGAGACAGCAGCAATGCCAGAAACTATCCAAAATCCAGCAGATCTTATTTCATTGAGTGTAATTCCACGTCCTTGATGTTTCACGACTTCATGATAATGCTTGATTATCAGAGTTGTAATATGATGAGACTTGGGCAATATGACAGGATGCTTCAATTCTTCAGGCAAACTTGAATCTTTCAATCTTCCCCCAATTCTCAACAATCCATCAGATCTTATACATGGATCAAGCTTGAATAATGATGAAGATTTCTTTACAGTATCGAATTTCTTAGGTTTGTTCAATATTTCGATTTCATCTGGATACACTTGACACTGCATAAGTTTTAAAATTATCTTCTTAGCATCTTCCATCTCTTGTACAGTTATTGAATCAAAAGATGAAGTCAAATTCTTGTTTCTACGATTTTGAAGAATTTTCAGCCATCGGCATAAAATGACAACAAATCTCTGAGCTTTGTATAAACTTGAAAACATTGACAATCTCTCCAAAAGACTTGGGAAGGATTGCTCTTTTACTTCAGTCAAAAATGTCACAGAATTACGTATTTCTGGATCCGAAGCATCAAGCTCTTCGAATTCATGTGAAAACTCTTTTTCCACTGTAAGTGGTTTCCACAGAAAATCAGGTCCCTTTAGATATCGATCATGTTTGGTCAGTAGATCTTTTGGACACAAACCTCTTGAGGCATCATCAGCTGGGTTGTTCTTTGTATCCACATAAAACCATTGATTTGGCTCACTATGATCACGAATCTCTTGAACACGGTTTGCCACATATATGTGAAATCGACGAGAATCATTTGAAACATAACCAAGAACAACTTTACTGTCTGTCCAATATGTTTCCTTGATGTTGACAAAATTCAATTCTTGCCTCAACATGACTCCAACCCGAACAGATACAAGTGCCGCAGTCAATTCCAATCGAGGTATCGTGATAGGTTTCAATGGTGCTACTCTAGACTTTCCCATCACGAATGAACAATGAATTTGATTTTTCTGATTGGTCAGTCTTAAATAGGTGCACTGGCCATATCCACGAGTCGAGGCATCACTAAAGTGATGTAATTCAGTTTCCTTGATTTCACCAAAATTACTTGGCTTGAAACATCGTCGAATTTTTAATTCGGCAAGATGATGAAGATCATTTCTCCATCGCTCCCATCTTGGTTTCAAATTATCTGGAACGGGTTCATCCCATTTGCACTTATCACGACACAACTCCTGAAGAATGCGTTTTCCTTCTAAGACAACAGGAGCAATAAATCCGAACGGATCATAGATTGAACATACTGTTGACAGAATTCCACGCCTTGTGAAAGGACGATCTTTCAAAGTAATACGAAAAGTGAAACTGTCATCCACAATACACCATTGAACACCCAGTGCTCTTTCAACTGGTATTGGGTTACTTCCAAGATCTAAATTCTTGAACTTTGTCGAGCGATCATTCTCATCAACAGCTTGTAAAACTTCATTATTATTAGACACAAATTTTGTCAAATTGAAGCCACCTTTAGCACACATTTTCTTACTTGCTTTGATCAACGATGTTGCTTCTTCAACACTATCAACTGACTTTAAACCATCATCAACGTAGAAATTCTTTCTCAAGAATTGAGCTGCTTCTTCACCAAATTCCTTTTCATAGTCATCTGCAGTCTTTTTGAGGACAAAATTACAGCACGATGGACTCGACGTAGAACCAAACACCATGACTCGCATCCTGTAACAACTAGGTTTTTTCGTGCAATCTCCATTGTCCCACCACAGAAATCTGACAAAATCTCTGTCTTCTTCGTTAATTCGAACTTGATAAAACATTGATTCGATGTCTGCCATGAACGCAATTTCCTTTTCACGAAATCGAGCAAGTACTGATATCAGTGAGTTGGTAAGATCTGGTCCTTGTAGCAAATACCCATTTAAACTTTGACCTTCAAATTCAGAACTGCAATTAAATACAACTCTGATCTTGTTTGGCTTACAAGGATGAAACACTCCATGATGTGGAATATACCATACATATCCATGATTACCATTGTCACCTTCGGACAATCTCTCAGCATATCCCTTTTCAATTGCATCTTTCATGAATGCACAATAAAGCTCTTTAAACCTTTCATCTTTCTCAAAACGCTTCTTAATTCCTTGTAAGCATCTGAGAGCTAATTGCTTGTTGTTTGAAAGCATCACTTCTTTGTTTCGAAAAGGGAGAGACATCTCATAATGACCATCCTGTGTCCTGTGAATACTTGATTGACACTTCTGCAAAAATCTACGATCTTCGATAGAAATAGGTTTGTTCGATGTACCATCAATTTCTTGCTTTTTGATATTATTCTTGTGCATGCATTCAATGAAATCTTGTTCGAAACTTCTCAAAATCATGCAAGGGTTAATGACTTCTTTAACTTGATTTATAGGTACAAATTGATCCTAATGCTGTTTTGATAGCATAACTTTCTGTGTCGGCATCTGATATAATTTGCAACGGACGCAATGCCTGCATACAATCAGTGCCAATGAGTATACCAATATCAATATTAGGATCACAGTCCGGGATTTCATCTAGAATATCTTGGAACTTTGTATACTTGTTCAGAACCCTCTTGTCTATAATTTGATTACGATTCACTGGGATGGAATCTCTTGTGTAACATGGAGGCAAATTTATCTTGTGGCCATTACAACCTAAAATTTGCAAGCCCATAATCTTGTATGAATCCACCACAGTCGAACTGGTCATAGTAGAAAGGTTCAATCTCACCTTAAATCCATTTGATTCCAAGCTTCGTCTGACATCATCCGAAATGAATGTGGTATCAGATTGTTCATCTAAAATTGCATAAACTTTTAATTTCTTGCTTGGTCGATCAGCACAAAGTATTTGTATTGGTACAATCCTTGTAGTTCGAATAACTTCTCGAGCTTCTGATGCATGACAGATTATACTTTTCTTACAATCAGCATTCGTTAAACTATTTTCTTCATTTGAATCTATCTTCGTCTTGACCTTGCGAACGAATTCTTCTGAATGTATGGCAGTAGGGTGACCTTTACCACAAGTTTTGCAAGTCTTTCTTTTGGTGCATCCTTTCGAACGATGACCTTTTCTTAGACATGCAAAACATATGCCATTTGACTTGATAAATTCGATTCGGTCATTGTAAGATTTCTTGAGAAAAGCTGTACAATCATTCAGATCATGTGATCCTTTACAACACACACACGAATCTGAGAAATGGGTAGTTTTCGACGTAGCTGTTTGTCGAGAACTGTGAACTTCTTCGCTTGCATCAATAGAGTACGAGTGAGAACCTCTATTATAAGTCCTTCTTCTAACGGGTACATTTGCAGCTTTCTTATTGTTAGCCACAAGTTCATCAAGTACTCCAGTTCCATACAGAGGAAGTGTAGTTACTTTCGATATTTTCTTGACATGATCACAGAATTCAGAAAATGGTGGAAAGCTTCCATGTTTTCTGTGATATTCACATGCATTTGACGACCATCTATCTCTTGCCGACTTTGGCAATTTCAAAACAAGAACTTGGATTAAGTCTTCATCATCCAATTTCTTCAGTAACGTAGAATTTTTTACCAATAGCTTACAACTAGTAAGAAAATGACAAAACTCACGCATTCCTTTTCCGCCATCATTCATAGGTATGATAGGCCATTGCTTCAGTCTTTGCTTGTAAGCTCTGGATATTGTAGCCGAGTCCCCATACCACTCCATTAGTGTCGCTTTTGCTTCATTATATGCGTTTTCATCATCTATGCCCATGAAACCTTCAATAGCCTTTCTTGCATCTCCAGTTGTATACTTCAAAAGATAACGAAGACGCCTGTTAGGGTTTCGAACATTTCTTTCAATAAGATCTTCAAAATCTCCAAGCCATATAGGAAATCTCAATAAATCACCATCAAAAACTTCTGGTTCTTCATTTGGCAATGAAGCCCTTTGTTGAATATCAACAACTGTTTCAACTAGTCTTTTAATTTCTGAACTACTAGCGCCATCTGCCGATGGGTTTTGTGGTGCAGTAGACAAATTCGATGGATTTGAAACTTCGTTTTCAGCAGTGTTCGAATAAGCAGGATTTGCATTCATATGATTTGTAACAAATGGTACAGCTGTATTTTCAGGTGCCGGTACCAAATTTTCATTCGTTAAAGCAGTTTGTTCAGCAGTATGGAATTGATGCGGACTTACTACAAAAGGTTCGTTCGGTGCAAAATGTGTCACATCACGTCTACTAAAGCTATCATTTTCACAATCAATTTGAGCAAAATATTCTCTTCTGCTTCTGCTTTAGCAATTTCCTTTTGCAGATTCATTCTTCTCTTGTCAGCTTGTAATTGTATTTCAGCTTGTTGTACGTTTGCTTGAAGCCTTACAGCTTCAGCTTTGAGTTTTGCTTCTGTTTGTGCTAATTCTGACTTCAATTTTGCATCTGCTTGTGCTAATTCTGATTTCAATTTTGCCTCCTCTTGTGCAATTTTTACTTCAGTTTCAGCAAAACTAGCTTCTGCTTGTAATGAGGCTTTCTTGGCAGCTATTTCAGCCAGCCTAAACGCCACAGATGAACTCGATGATGAAGAATAAGATCTATGAGAATATCTTGAAAGACTGGTATGTACAGAACTGACATCTTTATCAGTCTCGATGCTTCTAATTTCTTCAATTGCTTTAGCACGAAATTCTTCAAACAAATGTTGAGCATTTATGAAAATATCATTTTCTTCATTAATAGCATTGGCATCAACTAACAATGCTACATACTCCTTATGTGCTGTACGATAGCCATGAAAACATAATTCGAAGGTTTTCAAATCGTCTTTTATAGTACGCAATGAGACACCATCATCAATACTTTTCAGGAGCTTCATTCTTATTTTTGAAAATAATTCAAATTTCGACTTACACCTTTCCAGAAGCATTTTAACTTGATATTCTTGTCCTTTTTCTGTAAGTGTTCTGCTACGTTCAGACCTTCTGGGATTTTCTCTCATATCATTACCAGAATTAGAGTCCACGTCATCACTTGCATTTGTAGATCTTGCTGTAGCCATGATTAATAATGTATATTCCCTTTTCTTGGTATAAATATCTTGTATTCACTGATAGGGTGAAGTTTCGCAAAATTACAATAACATGTTTATTGATCATCAATATTCTGATATTGTTCTACTGACTTGCTTAGTAGATCTTGAAATCTTTTACCAACTTGTTTGCAATAGTGTAAAATTGTTTACTAACTTGGTTAGCAAAGCCAAATCGTTTACTAACTTGGTTAGCAATCGACAAAATCGTTTACTATTACGGCCGCTGTTCACGATGCTACGAATCTAACAGTCTATTTAACCCTTTTGTCGCAGACTCGCAGTCGTATGTTCCGCCGTGTAGGTATAACCGTCGTTTAACTCACTGCTGCACTCACTGAAACCTGGAAACCCCAAGAAACTGTCCAACACAATGTTTTGATGTTACTTCCAAATCGTGTTCAAAGATGACCAAATGAAATAACTTAGATGTTATGAAGCGTTCCAAAATAGTGTCTCAGTGGACTGATGAAATGTTCCAATATAAAGTCTCAATGAATTGAAGAAGTGTATAAACTGCAATTAAAATAAGAGTAAAACTTATAAGCAAAACACAACAGTGATGATCTAAAAATACCAGAGGCAAAATACAGTATAGGCTACCGGTACTTGATCACACGATAAAGAAGGCATGAATAACTTATGAATAAAGAGCAGACAATAACTTGTCCACACAGTGTTTTACTTATTCTATACTAATATGAATTTGGAATGAAAATCATATATTAAGCAAGTAGGAACACTCAGCAAATGAATTCCTAAATACAGAAATATCTTCACATAAAATATGACTTACCGATTTTTTCGGCTAATAATATCACAAACAAGCAGGTACTTCAATATTTAACATTTAAACAATCTTAACTGTATGGAAAAAGAATAATATATTAGACCAAATCAGAGAAGCACAAACCCTGTCAGCCTGTTCAACAAAATCCTGAAAAATGGCGCAACCACGAGACAAACTTGCGCAACAATCTAAAGTACCACAATGAGGCGACAAAGGGCAATAAATAAAATGACGGCTGAGCCATCATTTACAACTGGAGCTCGCATATCAGTCACTTTGAACGCTTCTTGGCCCATTGTGAAAAACCCTTGATTAGGGATGGGCAATATAGAATAATTTACTATTCTAGAATAGTTAAATCGAATCCAGAATACCGAATCCTATTCTATTTTATACTTATTCAAATAGTGGGAAATTCCACAATTGTAAATGTATTACTATGAATTTATTTGGAAATGTCCTGAACATTTGTTTTCATTTGATATTAAACAGGCATTTCTCAGGACAATACAATTTAGGAATATTACAATATTTTTTGCCTTCAATTGTTCCAAATGTATGTAATCCCTAAATACTGAAATGCTAAATTAAGACACGCTTTACACACTTAATAGTAAGCGGTTAAATACAAAAATAGATATGAAACGGCGTTACATCATTTTCAATGTTAGTCTGCCGAGTTTACTAAAACATACCCGCTGAGAATTAATTAGATGCAGGACCAGCGTGTGGCCACTGCAACCTATGCCGCCGTTGTGAAATATTCAATTTGACCACTATATTATATTAAAATCAATTTTTTATTCTGTGCTAGCAAGACTCGTAAAAACAAGTTCTCGTAAACGCGATTTCGTACTTAGTTATTAGGTAATAACATCTAAAGACTAATTCCTTTTCTATGATTATCATTACATATCATTATCTACCCAGACTTGGCCCTACTTAAACTCAATAAGTCACTATCTTCGCCAGATGCGGCAACTTTTTCTTTAAATTTATCGGCGACTGAAATACTACAGACACTCGATCAAACGTGCGTCTATCTTGAACGATAGGAAATATGTACCGGTAATCATTTGAGAGTGATATTCAAATGTGACAGATTTTCGCGTATTGCGATATAACTTTGTATTTCGGAAAATGGTGTACTTAGTTATTGCGTACTTAGTTATTAGGTGATAACATCTAAAGACGAATTCATTTTCTATGATTATCGTTACAGAATATTATCTACGCCAGATGCGGCAACTTTTTTTTTAATTTATCAGCGACTAAAATACTGCAGACATTCGATCAAACGTGCGTCTATCTTGAACGATAGGAAAGGACCGAAAGAAATGTAATGTTTTGAGAGTGGAATTTAAATGTGACAGATTTTCGCGTATTGCGATATTACTTTGTATTTCGGAAATGGTGTAAATAAACGAGAGAGATTTCCACGCGAGAAAAAACGCTCGTCTTTAATTGATAAATTAGAAACCCGAAATACAAAAATTGACGCTTGCCGCCGGAAAGGCGGAAACCGAATCCTGATATCGGATCCCGTTGGATTCGAATCCTCCGGATTCGGTATTCTATATTGCCCATCCCTACCCTTGATCATAATGGAAGAACAGTAAGTTGGATTGATCAAGCCCTACGTACCTGTCAGACTAACTCGTAACCAGTCAAGCTCAAACATTAAAGTTTTGTTTGCTTAGTAGATGTTCTTGTTGTTGTATTATCAGACAATATGAATGGTATACAAAACTGGCATGGAAACTAAATTGTGAAACCCAATCTGGAAGTACAAAACATCCAAGATTCGACAAACCATGTTAAATTTAGCAGTTTGTACCATGGCTTTATACAAAACTGGCATGGAAACTACATTGTGAAACCCAATCTGGAAGTACAAAACATCCAAGATTCGACAAACCATGTTAAATTTAGCAGTTTGTACCATGGCTTACTGTAAAACAGGCCCATAGGCATTCCCTTACGCTTATGGTATAGAAAGATACCTCAACAAAGAGGCTAATTCCAATTCCGCTTTCATGCTCAATATAAAATAAATATATCACAAGAAAAGCAGTTTTTATCATATTGTATTTCATCAGTCTTCTTCATAATCTAGATAGAAAAATTAATTTTAGATGAACTACAATTCCCCTACATATTCGCCAGTTCCCTCATATATTAATTCATGTAATGTCAGAATATTACATATATTTTTTCAAGCAGTCCCACGGCTCAAAGCCTTCATTTCATGTTAAGACAATGCATTTACAACAATATTCCAATACCAAATGGATCCAAAACATTGATCCTAAGCAATCATGGCCTTGAATATGGATGGGACTCTATTTTGACACCCGTTGTCGTTTGCATTTTCCCACCTCCTGGTGGTAGCTGAGTTGGGTTTCGAGACTGTTGTATTGAAATATCACGACCGTACGTTGAGGCTGCAATTAATTGTACAGTGTCATTCTGATTAAATGTTGGTTTTATATTTTTCATTTGCTGTTGATCGTTTTTCCAATTATGTAGAGAAAGTTTTATTCTTTCTAACATTTTATCACAACATTTGTTTAAGTTTTTGACGGCTGCATCATTACATACACTTGCTTCATTATTCATTTGACGTTCCGTTTGTTCGACCTCTGGATCAGGTTTGGTCCTTAGATAATCTGGGACAACGGCATGATTAAGATATAGCAATCTACCTTCCGTTAGATTAGCAAGATATTGGTCGTCATCCTGGCCCAAGCGTAACGGTATGATAGGATAATTTTGAAGAGGTGCTATTTTTTCAGCTTTCAATAAGTTGAAGAGTGAACTCATTTGACCCGATAACAGAGCATAACTATCCAAGACTGATGTCCAAGTGAGAGTTTCATGTTCGTGATCTATTTTTGCAATAAATTGTACCAAAGCATTTTTCAATTCTCGAGAACGATTCATGAGGGCTTCAACTGATTGCTCGAGCACTTTTTCTTCTATTCCTTGAGATTCCATGATATTATTTTTAGAAATAAGTGTTGCAGGCTGATAAATATAAACAGTACTCATTATAAATCTAAGATATCAATTTGCATAACTTCACACCATTTGATAATGAAAACTAGGCAAAAATCAAATACAGCCCTATCAGAAAATTTGTAACTGATTCTTATCACAAGCCACAAACAACACAGTTTGATAAAAACGCTAGTACAAGATGGAATACCGGTTTAAATAGACAGGTCTTATATAAAAAAGAAGTCTGTAAATGTTTGAATTAGGTAACTCACAAATCATGCTGAATATCGTTTCATTAAGGTACACAAAAAGATAATTTCAAATTTCATGCATAGAAATGGAGAGAACAAATCTTGATTTCTAAATGAACCGCATTGTAATATTGATAATAATTTGAAGAAATAATCTGCAGAGAAAACTCAATTGCAAAACAAATAAATTAGAAAATACTCAAGTTATAAATAATTTTTCAAAAAAGTCTAGAAGTACAGTATTCCAATACCGATGTGGAGAAATATGAGAATAGAATTTTTGTTAACAATATCAATATTAATAAACATCCATGCTATATGGTATATTTGTTAGGTAACATGAAGATAAAAAAGTGCTCTGGGAATATATCAAGTACTGACTGACATTGCAAAATTCATATTGATAAAAATAATGCTGCGGTAACATGGTACAGTACAGTAACAATAATACTGTTCATCATTCATAAGGTATTAATAATCAAGTGATTAAAAATTTTACAGAAAAATTAAAAAAAATGATAACAAATTGATTTTATAGAATCAAGTGCAATTTGCAAGAAGTTGCAATTTGTAAGAAAGAATTAGTTATATAATGATTGAATGAAAAAAGGACTTGTTCAAAACAATTTTAAAGCTTCAGAGTGTTGAATGTAATTTGAAATTTCATCGGAACATTTTAAAAACAGATTAGGCTATAGAGGATAATGGGCACATAACACAATACAGAGGTAAAACGACAAAAATTGTGAGAAAAATAATCAACTATATTTTATTATGAAATCTAACGCAAGGCAATTCTGTAGGTCTTGCGACTGGGAGTAATTTGTACTTTTTTGTATTGTTGACATCACCATCAATTTCCCATGTAAATTTTTCAAGTAAAGTTTTTGTCAAACGCTGTAGGATATACTGAATGAGACAATGTCCGATACATACACGTTCCCCACCCCCAAAAGTGAATATAGAATTTGCTGATATAGTATTTCCCTGATTTAACCATCGATCTGGATTGAATTCATCAGGATTTTTAAACACATTTTTATCTCTATGGGCAAAATATGAGACATAAATTACAGCGTAACCTTTTGGTATTTTATAGCCACCAATAGTCGTATCTTTATTTGCAATGCGTCGTCCTCCTAAAAACGGAGGCCATAATCTCTGAACTTCTAATAAAATTCTTGAAAGAAGTTCAGAATCTAATGCAGCACTCTCACGTAAATTAGCTTTTTCTTTCCCAGCCATTTCTAATATGAACGAAGTAATAATAGAAGAAAAAGCTTTTGGAATAAGAGAGGATATGAAGAGTAAAATATGCTGTTCTACATTTTTATCCCTATTCATAAATGGCACTTGAAGCATCTGTTGTATAACGTTGGACTTGTTAGGATTGACATAGGCATCGTTTTTGGGTACTGATGCATCCAGTTTTGATGAACTATTATTCTTCTCTGCTGCTATCATTTTTCTAATATGAATAAGAAGTTTTTCTTTTGCTTCTATTGCTTTGCTCCAACCAGATTGACCAGCAAAAGGAATTTTAACACTAACAGGAAGTGATATAATGCCATGCCAATGCAATGTTGCCAACTCAGAAATAGATTTTGACATTTCTGATGATGTATCTGAAAATCCAAGAAAAAATTTAAGACAGAATTTTGTCATCAGAGATTTAAATTCTTCATATACATTGACTAACTCTCCATTCGGTGGGAAATTTTCGAAAAACTTCCCAAAAAATTCCTCGATACTCGATTCATACTGTGTAATATTAGTGAATATAGGAGTGAGACAGTTCCTTAATAACTTTGCTGCTTCTCCATTTTCAAACAAAAGATTGTCTCCATAAGAATTGTAAAGAAATTCTCTATATCCATGATCGAAATCTCTCGATTTTTCATATAGAATTTCAGTTGTTTCCTGATGTGAACAAACAAATATAGTTGGTGTATTAACAAGTCTTGTTAGAAAGACTTTGGATGAGGTCTCAGATATTTTTGTGGTGATAAACAGTTCAGGGTCCCTGTAGAATTCCACCGACTTGTCGCCAAATATTGGATATCCACATGATCCCGGAAGTTGAGACATGCCTCTATCAACTTACAGCATTTTTGAGTGTCTGTGTTTTGATCAGCTGATGGTAATCCCCGAGATTATTGATATCTTTGCATGTTCTAATGTTTACTCTGAATGTTCTGTTAGATAATCAGATAATGAAAATATTGTAATCATACAGTCACGATACTACAGGTAACATTTACCAAATACTTAAATTTGCAAGCGGTCTTACTACTTTATATTCCCGTAAATAATTATTGCGTCTCATGTACTTTCTCACCTGAATAACTTCTAATAGGCGTGGCGTAACAATTTTATGATATATGATTCCTGACCCCCACCTGATGACGTCATAAAAAAAATTACGTCACTGCGACGTCACAATAACGAAATACAGCTTGCCAAAGTATAGCGACGGTCTCCCGTAATGGCGCCCGCGAGTATGTTTACAAACTCTCAGCGACCTCTCTCGTATCGGGATCGTTGCGCAGAGCTCAAAATAAACAAGGATCACAAGCGACTAAATTGTCGCCATGGAACGTTCACGTTATCCCATTCCGACCAATTTTTTGTCCAGCAATAGCTCATGTATCCATTAGTGGTGGTAGCCTAAAAGTCTCATTGCGCGCAGCGCATTAGGAGCAGAAATTACAGTAACGTGTCACCAACCTAGTTCTATCAAATTCGAGTACCAAGTCAAGTCGAATTTAGACAAGCAGAAAGGGCATATTAATTTACGCGATGGTTGAAGTTGGGTACCACACACATAAACCTTTGTTATTTTATGTCCAGCAATAGCTCATGTATGCTACAATCTATTAATAGGGTATTATACGATACCGCTCTAGGCAAGGCTTTAGACCAGTGGTTCCCGAACTTTTTCAAAAATATTCCATGACGGACCGCTTTCAATTTTTTTAATGATTCGCGGCCCTGTGCGCTTAAATAAAACATTAAAAGATCACAACAAAAAATAAATGCGCCGTACGGTATAGTGAAAAACCTTCTCTTCATCTGTGTTTTTCAACAATAAACTAACATCACAATTTTTGAGGGAAAAGACTTTGTGGAATTAATATTACAGAGCTAAAACTGTAAAAATATATGCATACCGTTACTATGTGTCAAAGGCTGAATTTGACAGCTAAAAACTAAACGTAGTACCCCTCTGACTACGCTCTACTTAACGTCAGTCAGTAGTTTATTATTCACCAAAATGAAAATGCACTTACTGTGAACATGAATTTAATAAAGGTTTGAAATGATATTTCACGGTGAAGGGTGGCGCGAAAAACTAAAGTAGGTAAACGCTACCTATCGTCCACTACAAAAGCGTAAAACAGCATTTAGAAGCGGACTGGCATCTTTTATAAACTACCTACTGTAAGTAACTCCATCCTATACTAACAGATGTGCAAAAGGCAGCGTCAGCTACACCTCGGCAGTTAGTTAACTTATAGTGGCAGCAATTGAACTTTCTCTGTGATGCCATAGATCCGCAGCTTTGTGACATCACAATGGGACAACGTGATCGAAACAAAAAGTGAACAATCAGTGTACCCAGCAGTGATTGTGGAGCTTGAAAGGCGACAAATGAGTATTTGCAAATTTAAGCACTTAATTTTTGCATTATCCTACTATGAGGCATAAAACAGATTTATTCCGCGGACCTTCCGAAAGTGCTTCGCGGACCCCAAAAGGTCCGCGGACCCTAGTTTGGGAACCACTGCTTTAGACAAACAGAAAGAACATATTAATTGATGATTGAGGTTGGGTACGGCAAACATAAAGACTTGTTATTTAATATCCGGAGATTGATCATGTATTGTTGGACGTGGAATGTTTTCACTCTATGCAAGGCTTTATACAAGCAGAAACCGACGTATTAATTTGCTTTAACGATATGGGTGTAGTTTTCATACCTCAGTAACTTATAGCGGGCTTATAGTAACAATTTTTGCATATATCATTCCTGAATGATTAAATGTAGAAATGCCATATGGCTCGCACGGAAATGCAGTTGGAAATATGTACCTTTTAGTCTTAAACTCAAATTTAGTCTTAAATATGTTGTCTTTTTGATCTTGATTGAAATTGAATAAAAATAGTACTTATATAAAGAATTTACTGTTTGTTTTGACTGGGGCTGTGGTGTGGAGTCGATAAAATTTACAGCAAACTTAGGCTTAGGCCATTTAGAATATGATTCTAACTGGTTGAAGAAAATGTTGACAGTTGGCACACATTTCAGAATTCCGAAATTTTGAGCCATTTCCGAAATTTTGACACCCATCATGATTGTCAACCGCAAGAAAACTTTGGTGTATGTTCAATTGTCTCTAAAAGTCAACTCGCTTTTTCAGTTTCTCCAATTGCCATCTTCAGAACTCTTAATTCCAACTTCAAAAAATTAGAATTTTTTATTTTTCCTCCTATTCTAGAATTTCGGAAATACGACACTCGACACCACGGCCATGATTCTGAATACTTCTAGGTGACTATAGTCACTTTGGTCTAGATATAGTACCGGTAATTCATTTTCAAAGGCTCAATATGCAGCTTGCTAATGAACTATCTTTTGAATTAGAAAATAAAATGTAACCGTCTAATTTGTGGTTGGAGATTGGCCATGGTTCATCAGTTCATAAAGTTAGGAACAGGTTGTTCATTGCTCAACAACAGATTGAGCCACTCATACGGCTTCATTTATAGAAGATATCATTGGGTTTATAGAAATGGTGAAGAGGGATATGATGAAAATGAAATCGAATCGAGGTTCACTTCGCTGTCGCCAGGTATAGATATGAAAATACTCGTCATATTTCGGGAATGCTAAAATTTATGGGTTGTTCTAGGTCTGGTGAAAGGCTTCTCAACCGTATTTATTAGGCTACATAACTGTTGATTGAAGGACAGTTCACTATTAAAATCAATGGTCCCAAGCTTTTTTGTTGAATTCTTCCTTTCCCTATTTTGGAACCCACTGTGCATAAAAACTACTTTATTTGTTCAATCTTTGAAGGATCCATTGCTAGTACATGTAGTAGTATGCACAAGTCGCACTCCAGTTTTTGTACAGTTCAAATAGTTTTTTATATGTGTGTTCGTGAATGAGTATTATATTTCAATAGAAAAAACTGAAAAATGTTATTAATACAACAGCAAATACAAAGAAGAATTCCTTCCAAAAACTGCGAAATTCCTCCCAATTGGGGAACATTGATATAAATGATATAATACATTGCTGTGGACAAAGCTATACATGGTGTACATCAGAGCACCATGTGTCACGCATGTCATACTTTATCATAACCCCATAAGCGAATGATCATATTGACATATTTTCTTCTGTACCTTCATCATATTATATCCATATTAAGTTCATGCATCTGAAATAAATAACTGGATAACAAACCCATATTCGACATGGACTGGTAACTGGACAAAAGGCCGTGGTTCAAGTATACAAATCGGGTGACATTGTCCCGTTTCAGAGAAACCCATTTTACAGATGATCAGACATGTCTGGACATTGTTGTCCCTCAATATCGGTAATAATACTGTATAATGAAGTTGCGCAAAATACTAGAAAAAAACGCAATCTAGTAACGTCATCATTGAATTCCTTGGGGAAAAAATAATCCGATTTACTGAAGAAAAAAAAATTTACCGTAGCATTTGAGAGTTTTTAGCAAAAAACGGCAATTTTGGTCATGTGAGATCGCGATTAATTTAGATTATTATTGAGACAAGCGTGGCGCGATATGAAGCATCTGACGTGGTCCCAGAAGCCCCTCGTTTGTGAGACACATAGAGTGTTTGTTTTATTGAGCCAAATGGAGGGAAATTCTTGGAATTTGGATAGTGTGCTGTACTGTGGTTTGCCATATGATCTTATCATCTTTCTTTTTCGCCTGGTTAAATATGTAAATCCTAGTCTTAAATTTAGTAATTTTATTATTCAACAGGTGGAAGCATTGATCTGAAATTAGGAGAAGTTTCTGTTGTGACAATAAATAATCCAGAAAAAAGAAATGCGTTAACAGGTACTTGTGGTTATACACCCTTCATCATTTCATTTGTAGAGTATTTATAGCTATTAGAGCAATCTTATAATTTACCACGCTCGAGAATATTCTGTGCTTTCATAATCAAGAGTTTTGAATCACCTATAAAATACATGATTTTTAGCTCCGAATTTTTATTTTCTTTTTGCTGCAAAATCTTTCTGTCTATGTTTTAATTATGATGAAGCAAAGGCTTATTTTTTTTATAGATGAATTCGATAAACATTGTTCAAAATAGGATTTTTTCATTTAAACCACTTTCTTTTAAATATTGATCAGTTCTTTTTTGTAAATAAATTCATGTTATATTGCAAATAACTTTATTGCATTCAAACAAATATATTTTGAGTGTCATAAATTTATTGTTTTAACGCAGAAATTTATGATTTCAGTTATAATTTTTGATTCATTCAGGAAACATGTTGGTGGAGATGAGAAATGTTGTGAAACAATTGTGGAAATCGAAAACTACAAAAGCTGTTGTGTTGTGTGGAAAAGGTGATGCATTTTGTTCAGGACTTGATTTTGGACTTGCTACACAGCTGACAGAACCACAGGTGTGTTTGCTAAATAGACAACACTATGATTTGTTTCAAGTCATGGTTGTTGCTTGGATCAGTGATTTTAAGAGAGAATTGTGTAGCAGTGTTGAGTTTAGGTTGTGGAAGCGAGAGCCAAAGTTGGTATGTGCACTTCCCATGCTGCGTGGATTTGAATCCTGTGGCGGATGATTATGAATGAGGAGATTTCTGGACTCCTCGGCGCCGCAGGTTGGTTCATGTAACTCCCATCTTGCATTAAACAGATTTTATTTTTAAAAATATAACTAGAATCTAATGATCATGTTTTGAGACTATTCACTTTGTCAGCAATTGTATTTCTCTAGAATTCGTTTTCTATTCAAGTCACTCAAAATTATCTTCCAGTTTCCAGTCAAGTCTGAGTTAGATAAGTGTAGTCGTTTCGTTTGGATAACTCGAGTCTCCTCAAGTCTTTGAAAAATGTGTCTCGAGTAGAGTCAATAACTTGTGTATATGTAAAACGCTGTCAATAAGGCTGTTCCGTTGCTTATTAATGTGTTACTTGAATCTGTTAGCAATTACTGACACAGGATCCGCTTCAGGTCCGTAGAACTTGTACTAAATTGAATGAGATGACCTTTTAATGTCTTCTATGATTCTGATACTAATACTACCCAGTATCGATATAGTTCAGAGTTTGGCACTCATTTTTCATTAATTTATTATCTTAGGATGGAACAAATATGTGCATGTATATGCAAAATACCATGACACTGTTTCAACTACTTCCATGTATAACAGTAGCAGCAATCAAAGGAGGAGCTCTTGGAGGCGGGGCTGAGGTAGCCACTGCTGCAGACTACAGGTAGCTTTGAGAAGTTTACATTTATTCTAGATTTTTCCTTGTTTTATAATTTTATCTTAGTATTCGATTTGTATGTGGTGTTGAAATGTGTACCATCTGTACCCACAAATATGGTAGATGGTTGTATGGGGACTATATTTTACATACTATATGGTCTAGGGATAATCAGTGGTTCTATAGCAAGTGTGTTACTAGCCCTCCAACTGTTAAACCAATATGTGATATTTTTGTATAAACCGCTAATTTTACAGACTGATGTTTCCTGACTCAATGATTCAATTTGTTCACAAGAAGATGGGAATCATACCAGGTATGGTATGGAATAACATGAATATTCATTTAACATATTACCAACACAGTTAAACACTGGATTTTACTGGAGATTTCTTTTTCGGATATTGTTCGATCCAGTGGTTCGCCAAGACCCGTTGTTCTCCTGAAGTTTATCAGATTGGTCCAATTACTTCATAATGTCGAGGTGATGTGTTGTGCCTTCGAAAAGCTGAATAATATTTCCCCAAATTAGGATCAGTACGGTAAGTTGATTTCACCTGGTGAAATTTCGGGTCTCTGTTGTGGGGAAAATTTACATGTTTGATGGAAATTTTGACACCATCTTCCAACTCCCAGAAAACCAAATTATTATGGAAGTTTTTTTCTGTTGAGAATACTCAGTGAGCCCAATGCTTTTTAATCTGTCGGAAATTTTTACTTAGATTAATGGCGCCCCAGAAGTATGTGTACCAATATGGAGGTAACTAATTTTGTCCGCCTACTTTACATCATGTTTTGCAGAGGTACTGAAACCTGTGGGCAGCGGTTATATTCACTTGGCTAACGCTGACTGGTAATGGAACTAAAATAAGGAAAATCGGAATAAAATTACGACCTAACCATAGAAGTACCAGATTAATCAGTAGTTCATTTCTTACCATACTGAAAACTCACTATTCAGGTTATGTATTCCTATCAGTAGTCCTGTAGTCTGATGTTAAGACTTTGATAAACCAGTTCAAAAGGTTTAGCTATTGCCATATTAGATATTCAAAGCCTATTAAGGCAGGGATGTACAAACAGATTCGAATACATTCCAAGTTCTTCATATTCAATATAGGAAATTTTGGATTTAGGAATAATTTAGAACAGTTTTATTTAATAATTAGGAATTTTGAGCCGTCAGACGAACAGATCAAAACATACGATATCTTAACTGGTAACAAAAAAAACAGAGAAAACAATCCCTTCATGTTTGTGTCGTTTTAGATGTGATCAACATAGCCCTCCCCCCCCACCATATTATCTTAGAATGTATTTGGAATAGTGAAATATTTGGATTTGGCCATCCCTGTACTAAGCTTTTTGTCTGTATTCAATGAAAATAATCTTATTACTTTATTCAATGTTGGAAACTCCAGGTTGGGGAGGAGTGTCAAGGTTGCGTGACATTGTCGGTTCCAGAAAAACTATGCATTTGCTTGCATCTTCAATGCAGATTGACTGTAAATCTTCCTTGCTCATTGGACTGGCTGATGCATTGGTTTCAGGTGATTGGTTTAATCTATCATTTATTCAACCCAAATCTTCACTCTGGACAAGAAACAACTGATATGTTGGGAGTTACTGTTTTTTAGATCGAGATCTTTTCTGTAAGGTATAGCTTACCAATTTATTGCAACCTGAGTAAGGTGACGGACATTGTGTGCTAGAACCTGAAATCTTTACCTTGTCATCAACCTCTACAACGCTCTTTCATTAGTGTGTTGGAGATGCTTAAGACATAGACGCGAGTCACCAATTATGTGCAAACTACGGCCCACAAACCAATCCGGCCTGTTGGGTAATTCAATTCAAACCTTGCCCACCCCTGCTCTATCGGCTGACTCCCAGTGAAACGTAACTCTGTAATTCATTCGACTTGACTCGAGACTTCAACCCAACTGGGGCGGAACCCAAATAAAACATTCCAGAAACATCATTTGAAACTATAAGTGTGTATATTATAAGCAAACCTACCAGATACGAAACAAAATGATTTTTAGCTAGAAAGTTTGATATGCTGATTATTTTTAAGCAATATACATGTATTAATAAAGACTTAAGATTTGAATGTAAGCCCTGGAGCAGCTCCACCGTTTGAGAACCACTGCCCTGGACAGTACTGGCCTGAAATGGTTGAAAACCACTTCTTCTCAAGTAAATTTTATACCATATTCTCAGCGACAACATCAAAAATTATCCCTAATACCATTTGCATCCATCTAGAAACTGACGAAGAAGACCTTTCTACTTCTGACGTAGCAGAAAAATGGTTGGAACAAACTTTCAAACTCTGTGAAACGGATGCCAGTGTATTGCGAGCCATAAAAGCAGCTTCTTATGATTCAACTATGGAAAACAACCGCACTTTACCTTTATTTTTCAAACTAAAAAGGGAAAAAGATATCTTAAGCAGTGTGTGGGGAAGAACTGCGAACAAGAAGGCTTTGAATAAAGTCAGAATGAAAAATTCTTAAATATTGTGTGCAATATCTATACCTTAAAAATAAATTTATCTTCAGTAATTATTGCTCGGTGTTTAATTATAAGTCGTTCTAATTTAGTTTTGCATATGTCAGGCTAATGACCGAATTGCTTAAGTCATTTGTGGCGAATTGGAATTTTTTTTTATATAAAATAGGTATTTATGTAGTGCTGCGCACCTGTCTGTTAACTCAGATTTTATTTTAGGAATTCCAAAACCCCTAAAAATATAGATTTTGTACGACATGCACATAGCGAAGAAATTTTACCTGCCATTGGTTTTCAATTTGCTGCCGCGGTAACGGTAGCTCGTCATCGCTCGTTTGTGGCGGCTAAAAAGTCAGTCGCCGTAGGTTTGGCCATGGTTTTGCGGCAGCTGCAGAATACTTAAAACAGTATGCGCCGTGTTCGCATGTAGTAAGCAAACATTGTTGCTTACTTGCATCACAATTTAGTTGGCCTCGTAGATAGTAGAGACAAGAAGTCCTCATTATCATAGTTGCAATGAAGCTTAATCTTCTGTGAAATGAAAACTGTTTGGATGGCGCCAAATAAAAGATATTAAGAGTCGGATTTAAAATTCAGTTTCGTGAAATTCAAAATCAACTACTTTGCAACTACATATGTTTTTGTGTTTGTCTCCAACAGCAATATGCCGCCCTTTCCGTGACGTCATTAGCATTTTTGATTTAATGTCATTCAACTTATTCGTTGCAATGCCATTCATAAAACAAAATATATTGAGTCAAGCTTATAATTGACGATGATATGGAATTCCTAGGTTTGATATCGCAGAAACAGGGACACCCTTATCACTGAGATTAAATCAAGATGTTGTTCTGGTATTTATGAATTATTATGTTATTGCTGCTATTAAATTTGATAAAATGCATGCTTGGAATTTTATTTTTAATGTTAGGGGAAATAGAGCTTATGGTAATTCAATTTTTGGGGAGCACGTATCCGGAGCTTTTCAGTTTGTGAAAACCAGGGGGTGGCAACATTTAGCTGATTGTGGGCCAAAAATCGAATTTACAACGCAGACAGAAATGATTTTCCTCAGAGAAACCCTTTCCATTTGACATTGATAGAATGTTGCTACTCGACATATCGTCTTAATTATATTTTAACATACGAACCAACTAACTAGGGATGTGTGGCGTATCTAAAGTGTGGCAAGCATGGCTCGTGCCATAGTCACTGTTTGGGCAGGGGCACAAAAGAAGCGGAAAGTTTTAATCGTAAAATGTTTTAATAGAATATTTTCAAATTGGAAATAACTGAAACTCGTATTTCTACACAAATAATAACGTACATGTATTTCATTTAAATAACAGTCATTACAAATTGTCAACTACGGTAACTATCAAGTGAGGCGCATTTTAAACTTTGCCATAGATTCGCCCTTGCTAGGAGTAGAAAAATTTTTTATCGAATATTTTTAACAAATACGGAATAGTTCTAATTTACAATCGACCGGGACGTGGCGGGTCAATAATAGATCCAGAAATTAAAACTTAATTGAAAGTAACTCAAAGCATATCGTGGGGCATCTCTGGATCCGAAGCGACAAGTATTGAATAAGCATCATATGAAAAAAATCCTCTGATTTTGTTATAATTGCTGTATGATTTTTTCCGTTGTCCACACCATAACGTCGGTAGTATATCTTTCTGCCAATTATTTTTTTTTTCTCAATGATGTAGCATCTTAAATACTGTCTAGAATAAAATTTATCTAGATTATTATATGGCTGTAGTGATAAAAGGTTAATGTGACAAACAGCATGTTGCATCACTTTTTTGTTGTTTCGCTATTTTCTTACGTCACCTAGACATGTGATTCCTAATAACGAATGAAAAAGCATCTTCATTTTGCGGTCTCCTTCACTCGCTTTGTTTCTTTATTATACCTGCACCTTTTTCTTGCCTCGTCAAAATTTGACGCCGTCAGGTGAGCGCTGATTTTATATTTGTGAATTTTTTAAGTTTAATTGTTTATTTTCATCTTTGTGTCGCTAATCCTCCTATAATCTAACTTTGTATTAACTCACAGATATTTTGTAAGACTTTTGTAGCTATACTAATGCAGTTACGCTAAACCTATGCCTGCAATTATTTATTCAAATATCTACAAAATGGAATTGAGATTACAAGTTCTGAAATTAGCGAGACGAATCCAAATCGGAATCTGCAATATTTATTAGAGATCAACTCATTTCTTCAGTTAGGCACAAGAATAGTACTAAATGATTCTTGGCGTGTATTTGTTGAACTAAAGACGACGGCGTAAACAAATAAAGACAAGAAAATATTAGAGTTGGAACAAGTAAGATACTATGTATATATTCAAATTTACAATTTGGATGAATTCAATAATTACAAATTGCCCGATTATGGCTTTCAGCGTGTGTCAGCGTTTCCAGCCTATATACTGCATGTTACCTATGTTATATATTTCAGATCGTGTTAATGCAAACCGACTGGATGTAAACAAACTGCGAATGTTGACATCAAAAAACTGCTGGATCAGAACAAAAACTACGGTTAAATTAATATATATTCATTAAATTAGGAATTTCAGTTAGGCCAAAGATGTTTGGACCATTCCATCGTTTCTGAAATAAGAACCCGACAAGATCCGGTTGTGCAGAGATGTTTCGGATGATACAGGTGATATTATTTGCTTATATGTTTTTGTCATTCCAACGGGTTCCATGATTTGTTTTTCATGTGTTATGTCATGTTCTCTTATATTCTAGTATTTGTTTTTTAAAATCGTAAGTATAGTTAAGGGGAGGTGATCAAGGAATAATAAGGTAATTTAATTTATTTACAACGAGTGCGGTCAATGTAGTTTGCTGAACCAAGTTTTACGATTGCGACAGTGCCATTGTATTGTCTTATATTATACTTAAGAGAAATGAACATTTGCTGTAAGCGCATTTCAAATTTACATTATGAATAGTCTTCCAATTATTCGTCGTTTCGGCAATTTATCAATAAATGACCTGGCTTCCTTCGCAGGCAGTTTAATTTTTTTACAGTTATGTTTACTAATGCAGTTAGATTAATATTAGGCCTACAATTGATTGGCCGTTGAATTGCATCACAAATTCTGGAATTGTTGCCGACGGGATCTGCTGGAGGAAATGCTGGTAGATAAAGATTTATTATCGACCACTGAGGTTATTTTTGTTGACGAACATAATGAGTAAGAAAAAAAGAACAAGTCCTAATTCACGATCCTGTAAGAAGTAGACCAGACCCAATTTTATGTCTCAATAGTAAATGGAATTGCGAAATTTTTCCCAACTAAATTACCCTTCCAATTTTATGTTGTATCAATATACATGTGCAGACGGAAATGGATCTTCAGCATAACTGGATTCTAAGATACAGAACAATTTAACTGAAGAAGTTTTTATCAACGCAAATCATTGTCTTTTCTGTAAGACTTTTTTGCCGTTGTTCACCACGATATTATAACGATCTTTTTGTTTGTATTTTATAAATTTAAAATTGGCGATTAAATTCATTTAAGGTAAAAATTGCTGTATAAAATGATGTGCTCATGCCTAGCTAGAAATCGATAAACTGGGTCAAACATGAACTTCAGTTACTCATTATTTGTTATTAAAAGATTTTCAAATGCTTGTTCTGAGGAATAACTTAGATCAGTGGTTCCCAAAATTTTTTGGCCCGTTTCCTTGTTTAGTTTAGTCAATTTCTGCTACTCCCGTAGTATGGTGTACCAGGTTAGGGTTGGGTTATAATTTTATCCCGAAATACCTTTCAATTCAAATTTTAGTTATTTTCGAGTTCGGGGACTATTATTCCAATTTACCCTATTTTAGTTCTAATACGAGTTCGGGGACTAGCCAAGTGACTCTTGTAGTAATTGTACCTAAAATTATGGCCCAACCCCAACCTGGTACACATACTACGTTGCGGTGTCCGCCATCTTGGTACGCATTCTTCAGGAGTAACAAATTTTTTTTTCGGATTTGCACGTAGGCTAGGAACGAGAAATTCAAATTGTAAATGAATTTCTGCATTTTGCTGATATCTATTGTTTGTTATCTTTTATTATTTTTACCCAAGAACAGTAAAACCAATAATAAGCCCTATATCAGGACCCGAACTACAGAACCCTCGGATGTATGCCAGCACATAAACAAAACAACCATCACCCGCCAGGGCTGCCACTTTAGATGTTTTATAGCTAGATCTAGATGTATAATTTGTGACGGCTGACAAACATAGCTATCGTAAAAACATTATCGGCAGGGCAGAAAGTCGGCTACAAAACTGCAATCTTGTAAAGTCAGAAAGTGGAACAATAACACGGCAACAGCAAGTTACTACGTCATTTAAATACCGATGTTGAAAAAAATTTAGTACAATAAACTGCGAAAAAACAAACTAACAAAGTCAGCTTTGCGCCTAGCATTTTGCCCCCGCACATATTTTTAGAGAGGTAAAAACCGAGGGAATGCCCAATGCATCACATTTTTTCGCACAGTTTTTAGTTAAATTTCAAGCAGTGCGCGAAAACTGATCATTTGAATATTTTCTGCGTCATTAAACCATTTGCACTCAGCATCAACTTTTTTACGTTCTGTTGCCATTCGTCATATTATAATCAATTATAGGCTCATTAAACGAGTGATTGCGAGTTATATACTTGTTAGGTTACTATATAATTTAGTGTCTCAAAACAAATTCTGTCACGTAAAGAATATGATCGTCAATTCAACTGTTTTGTTAATATAATTCGGTGAAGCGTCGCGGGCCGGATTATATTGCTCCCCGGCCCGCCCCTGATACGGCCCGCGGGCCCTAGTTTGCCGACCCCTGGCCTAGAAGTAGCAAATTAATAAATATTTCATCCAACGTGTTAGAAACTATTGCATTGAATGATTATTTAACGCAGTTGGATATTTATTGTTGTATCTCACCTCATGTCACGCCGGTCTTTTTGAGCACTCGAATATTGTGAAATTTTC